AATTTCAAACACTTTTAGCATATTGTATTCAAGTATCCTTTCAGCCTACTATATTGCCATTACTATCTAACTTGGCACTTATATATACACGAGTTTCTACACTTTTTTTTTGTATTATTCATTCACTCAGTTCAAGCATCATATAAAAAGCAGAAGACAACCTAAATAATCTAGCTACTAATCATTTTATGTAGCCAAAGCTGGGACTGCTACCCTCAATTATAAGCATATACATATATATACACATGAGATCATGAGCTAAAAACCAGTATTTCTGTTCTATGAAGAGGTTCTTTCTGGAAGCAGAATTATCAGTAATACATATTTCAATTCTTATTCATAAAGTCACAGTGAAGAAGGAATAAAAAAATGCCACAGGCTATTCCTGGAAGTCCTCCCATGAGTTTTACTGTAGAGTTTCAGAGTTTTCGTTTGTTTGTTTTTTTCCCCAAACAAACTCTATGAAAAGGCCACAGTGCATAGTAAAGTTCTCTTTCTGTGTTCTACCTATGATTATCTTAGGTTTTCTGGAACAATGTTAGAATATATCCCAATGATCCAAACACAGCACAAATGGTTATATAGAACCTGAAGCCTGTGCTGCACTGAGTTCACAGTTTAGAATAGAATCTTTAGGAACAAGATGGAATAATCAAAATAAAATTCAAGCCTGTTTTACTTTTCAAATTGAATACCAAAGAAACGCAGGTCACTTGCTAGAAATTTTCTTACCCCCACCTTTTGGTGTCAAACATGTAAATCAGTTCACATCCAGGCTATATATTTGTTCAGGTGATTAAACAAGATTAAAATAACTGTATTATAATCTATTTTTCTATCTCTTTTGAAGGGGGAGGATCTCCTGCAATGCTGTCTCAGAATAAAACATGCTTGTTGGGGGAAAGAATTCTCAGTTTTAAGTGACAGCTGTCATATCCTGTTATGGAAGTAAAATTCTATTTAATAGGCTTGATTGTGCAATTTGCTGCACCTACCTTACATTGTGTGGGCTCACATGAGCACGTCTGAGTTGTACTGCAGAATCAATGCCAAAATAAAAGAGAAACATGCATAGTAGAAAAACGGAGAAAGGAGAAATACGAGAAAAAGCACACACATTTTGTCACAAAATCCAGACCTGGCTACAATGCAATTGAATCATAGCTTTGGCAGGTGAGTTCTCTAGAGTGCTCAAAGATAGGTTAAGGGGTTTTTCTTTGTTTTGTTTTAAGGATTAGGAAATCAGATTTGTGTTTTAGTATCGAAAAAGCGCCTGTTTTCTAAGTGCAGATCTGATTATCAGCCTCATTCTGCCTTAGCTCTTATCAAGGATACACAAAGTGACCCACAAAGCTCATGCAATACTTAACTCTGGTATTTAACTCATTAAAAGCCTCAAATGTCATCAAAATCATTTAAGAAACACACTTTAAAATTCATTGTAATTCTATTATAGATGTATAATAGTACACATCAAGTACCATATCTCACAGAACTGTAGGGGTTAGAAAGAATCTCTGTAGATCATCTAGTCCAAACCCTTCGCTGAAGTAGGCTCTCTGCTTTAGGTTGCACAGGAAAGCATCCAGGTGGGTTTTGGACATCTCCACTACCTCTCTAGAGAGACTGATCTAGAGGCTCTGTCACTCTCAATGCAAAGGGGTTTTAACTCATGTTTATACAGAACTTCCCTGTCGTTCCAGTTTGTGCCCATTGCCCCTTGTCCTGCCACTGGACACCACTGAAAACTATCTTACCCCATCCACTTGACTGCCACCCTTAGATATTTATAAACATTGATAAGATCCCCCTCAGTCTTCTCCATGTTAAATATATACATATATTTATGTATATATAAGTTATAAAGAAATAAATGGGGGAAAAAGATTAAGGACAAGCATTTCAATCCTCAATGTGCAATATGGCAGGCAGCAAGGAGAGAGTATACAAGAATTGTCACCTATTGACATTTTACTGTAACTAAACCTAGCAACACAAACCTGTTGTTGAAAGTTTTCCCCACGTTCTATACCTGACTGAAATCTGCCCACTACCATGGCCAAGCAGAACAGATCAAGGACCTTCCAAAGTTCAGGTATAAGCACATTAGGAAGGAGGAGGCACAGAAGGAAAATGAGTCATTAAGGCTGTATTCCCTGTTCAGCTTTTCCTGCAGGTTGGTCCCTAACCTAAACTTTGGGAAAGACTGTTGCAGCAGCAATTCTTCTCTAAGTTTCATTGAGAATGGTCTAGAAAATAAATATGTCCTATACTCTTAAGTGGCAATTATAGTTTGTAGTTGAAGAAAAGAAGCAAATTCAGTTTCACTAGGGGACCATTTTCTTCACTGATAACCAAAAGGCCTGACAGTGAATTAAGATTTAGACAGAAATCCTATGCCTAGCCTACTTGAATGAAATGATGATTTTGCCATTAACACAGACAGAGTCAAAAAGTTCATTATGCTCATGAAGTTAGCATTACTTCCACATGCAACCCTTGCCATGAAATTATGAACTGCATTTCTATATAATTTCCTAATGGGCTTCAAAAAAAATCTTACAAGATATGATATGATGAACTCAACCTCATCCAAATTGAAGAATCATCACTGCCACGACAGAAACGAGCAACGTTAAGGCCAAACCACAGATGAGTCCTTGTGAAAGGATTGTCCAAAGTATACTTTCCTGCACTTTCCTTACTCTGCAACAAATACTGCACTTATTTCCTTTCTTATGCACTTCTTTTCAGCAAGCTAGCTGTAGTAAAGTTAACAATTCCATATTATAAATCTTTTAAATGCAGATAAAGAAATAGACAGGCATTTGTTCTGTTAGACATAGCCATTGGAAATCATTCTGTTCCTCTGTAGTAGAGAGAATCATAAGGAATGTCAGGGCTCAACTCAGTCCCAAACATCCCAGAAGACAATTACAACTCATGACACCCAGACAATCTGAAATGGTTCTTGGTGTTCGTACAGTTTTGCTTACTGAGTGATTCACTTTCTGTGCTTCAAAGCATTACATAATAATTTGGATAAATGTCTTTTCAGTCAATTATTCTTAGAAACTTGAAGTTGTCTACCAAAGGATGCTACTTTTAACAAAGTTAACAGAACTAGGGAAAAAAATTCTTACAGCATTAAAAGATGATGCAAATATTCATGAAGGGCAAAGCAGATGACCCAGGTAACCACAAATTGCAGGGAAAATAGAGGAAAAGGCTGATATGGGATTCTGTTGATAAAGAATTAAAGGAGAGAATATAAATAATGCCAGACAAAGTGATTTTACAGGAAGTGAAACTTGTCAAAAATGATTTTATTATTTTAAACTGAAAGTAGGGTTGATCATGTTAATCTCACAGATGTAATATACCTGCACTTTTATGAACTATTTCATTCCATGCTGCATGAAGCTAACCTGAGAATTAGCCTTAGAGAATATCAGTAAGTATATATTATTTAGATATACTAGGAATCTGCTGAACTGACAGTGAAAAAGTTTCCTGAAAACACTGTTTGCAACCAGACGGTAGAGCTGACTTACTGACTGTATTTCAAAAGTTTACAAGACAGAAAGCACAGAGCTAAGTCAGATCAATACCACAAACTCTGGAAGACATAGCAAAACTGAACTGGGAGATCTCAAGTCAGTTCATAGTCAAAAGCGCGTTTAAAGTGAACATTATGGTAACACACTTTTATTCTCATGAGAAAGCATTACACTCTACATGTGCAGTCCTCCAAATAAGAGAAGCATTACAGAAAACAAAAGTATTTAAGGGAAACAGTAAGCATATGAAATCTGGAATAAATAGAGAGAAAGAATTGTGCATGATTTTAATTCTATGTTCTGCACCATATTAATTTGTTACTAATTATGAAAATGTTCCTCAGTTTCATAAGTGATATTGCCTCTAATATTTCACCCTTTCCCAGGCAGTTTTGAGAAGCAATTTATGTATTTTCATTATATTAAGCTGTTAGCACTAATCGATGTTAATATACTAAATTACATGCAGCAATTTAAGAAATAACCAGTTTTAAATTCAACTATGCTGTTTTTCTCATGATGACCTTTTAGAACAGGTATACCTCTGCCAGCACAATGAAGACAACGTACTCCACACAGAGTTTAAAATAGTTTAAAGTGTTCATAAATACATTGCAAATTTATTTTTGCAAGTCCAAGGAGATTTCTTCTCTCTCAGACAAGAACATTTACTATAGCATTTCGAGTAAGAATAAATAAGAGACCAAATATTTGTGCTGCTGTTGGCTGCAGCAAAGTTAAAGGTGTTGCCTCAAGAAGTATTCACGTTCTCTGAAGAACCAGCCTTGTTACATAATGGATATATTTTTTTTTAAGTATCATTATATATTGTTCACAAGACAGATATATTGCGTTTATTTAATTCAGCTATACTTCTTTAATAGCTTTCAACTAAATTTTGAAGTACTGTTGGAAATCGCATGTAGATAATTTTCAGATTAGAATTTTTGTCTTTCAGCAATGATATAGATATTATTTCATCATCTTTATTGCAGAAGACGACAAAGTAATTTTCCAAAAGCACCTAAGCTTATACTCAATTTATGGGCTTCTGAAAATGGGAGTTCTGCTTCTACGTTGTTGGGCAATTTTGAAAGTTTTTTCCAGTTCTATCCACCTGCTCCAACTTAGTGAAAATCATAAAAAACCCAAAGCTCTTACCTCACAGTATTGTAAATTACTGCGCTAAAGCCTCAACATGACAGTAGGAGTGCACAAAAACTACCTCATACAAAACAGAGCTGCACATAACCCCTTTCTCTATGAGAAATTCCAGACCCAGAGCAAACAACTTAAACAGCAGATTCTCCCAGGTGCTCCTATTTATATCATTTCTTCAGCTCGCAATTTGCAGAATGGCTGAGTAGTCTCAGCTGCAACTGAAGAAAATAGGATGTATGCATCAAACAAAGCACTGCATACCAGTGAGTGCTCAAAGAAATCAAGTCTCAAATGTTCCAAACTGGGCATATACAATATGCCTGATGTTTGTCTATGCTTGAGAGCAAAAATAGTTTATCCTCAAGCTACATGGTTTGAGGAGTCAATTTATTTCTGATTGTAGGATATTCCAGTCTTACAGTAATGAGTGCTACAGAATAGCCCATGAGGAAGTTAATTTTTCTGCCTTTAGCACAGCATTTAAATAGCATACAGTAAACAGCATATACTGTAGCCTGGAAGCACACATGAACATGATAAAACAAAATACTGAATCACTACTCATTAAATTTCTACTTTGTACTAGAAATAATATGAGATTATGTATTTAGAGACCATACAACAATACATGCTCACACAGAAGTCTACGTGGGCATCTCCAGCTCCTCAGTAGTCCACAATCAGTCCTCACACTTTTCAGAGGTACCATTCTTATCCAGTATTTGTTGCATCTCAGTTTCACATAACTCTTCCTTCACTTATTGGCTTTTGTCATAACCCTGAGTTCTCATAACTATATAAGCTCTTAATGCCATCAAGCCTTCACAGCCTTAAAAACTTCACTTGTTATTACAAGGTCTGTAGAAATTGGATTAAAAAACAGGATGTTCTAAGACCCATCCTCCAATTTCTATTACCTGTTTGTCAGTCCCTACTATATCAGTCCCATGAAGGTGCTTACCAGCACATACCTCAAAAACAACTGTTTAGTCCTTTCCTCCCCAGTGAAACAAAGCTGCATCCAATCATACATTTGAATTAAAACTCCAGGCAGCCTAGTTTTCAAATGTGAGGCACCACAACTTCAGGAATATTCTTTTCTTAGCAAGTTCACTGGGTTAAAGTATAAAAAACACGGTGGTTAAAAGTTGATGTATTTCACAACAACTCAAAGGAGCAACCAGAGTTTTTCTCTAGTGCACTCCCACTTTATGTTAAAGAAGTAACTGTGCTTTTAAAATAATATATATATATTTTTAACTTTAAGAGTAATTTTTGACCTCTATAATTAGATGTTGGTGCTTAGAGACAATGAAATTGCTTCTGTTAAGTTCTCTGCAATACCAGGCAAAGTATTATTACAAATATCAACAATTACGTACAGGAAAAAGTTGACTCACCCAACCAGCGATAGGGTTTTCTACCTACAGACCACTTCTTCTCACGAGGCAGTCCTTCAATAGCCCCTCACTTCAGAGGCTAGCCTTTAAATGAGCTCAGGGAGGGATGGACCCTGGGTTCACCTGGGAAGCACAGATGAATTGCTTGCACCTGTGCTTCTTGGGCCAGCCACCCCCTTCTGCAGGTGCTCAATCATCAGTCAGTTCAGGCTGTGACATATCAGTTTCCTTACAGTAGCATTCTGGTGGTTTTCATGGGTTTACATAGGCCCATAGTAAAAAATAGCATTAAAGATAGTATTCTAGAGTTCTAGTTTATTGTCTTTCCACTATGTTTATGCCTAATTGCTTGTTACTGTTGAAGAGAGAATCATGCTAACTCCCAGCCACATAAATGCAACCTGTGGTCTGAATGACAAGCTAGGCTCTTCTTGGCTCATGCATCTTAAATAGAAAAAAAAAAAACACAAAAACTAAAAATGGAGTAGAATATGCTAACATGAACCATGTGGAAATACAGCCTAGCTTGCTTACCCATATGTTGGGATGCTCCATACTGAACTGTGCCCATCTGAGGTTAAGCCCAGGCTCAAACACTGTGGTGGTCATACAGGTGCAAACTGAAAATTGTCATAAACTTTCTCATTCCGTGCTTCTGTCTCTGGTGAATTACACTAACACCTTTTGACAGAAATGTTATCATGTTCTTTATTTCAGCACCTAAACTAACAGAGTGAAGTTATGGTACATCACCGTGCAAGTAACCAATGGTAAATGCTTACTTCTTAATGGCAAGTACTACACCACTTTGCATGGCATGCTAATGTTCTGTAACCAAACAAATGGACACAAACATGCATGCTATACATACTATTTTTATATGGAAATGTTAGAAAATTACTTTATGTAATTTTTCAAGAAAATAGACTCATTAACTCATCGGGTATATATAAAAACAAAAACCCTGCACTGAAAAATTTGGCAGCAATTTGGGGAAAGGGCCTGCAGACACAGCTGAGACATCTTTGTTCCTGACTTTGAGACTGAAATGTCAAGTAATTGATTTAAATAATCCTAGTACCTTCCTAAGTTAAATGAGGCAATATGACCTACCAGTTTGAGCATAAGACCCAGAACCCTTTGTCATTTCTAATAAGATTATGCAGTGGATTTTTTTGTGTGACCATAATCAGTTCATGTAGATTTTATGAATTAAAGGAACCAAAAGACTTGCCCGACTTGCAGTTTCTTTACAGCACAGAAGGTAAATAAAAGTACCATTTATACCAGACTGATTTCCTTTCTGAATTTATTCTTTTTATCTCTTCAGACAAGAATCCTTGAGGATTTAAGGTTAGCTTTGGAAAGATATGCTGACTTCCTAATTCTCACTCACTTTTATAAGGCAAAGATCAAAATTTCCCTGAAATCTGTGCCAAAATATATAATATTGTAAGAAATCAAGAGAATTTTAAGTAACAGCTGCATTAAAATTCATTAATAGAATAGAATGTTATTATTATGCACATATTTCTTAAACTAATGAAATAAGCAAGCCAGATGCCTGCAACCAATGTAAGCAAAGCAAATATCCTCTCCCTTCTGTATTTTGAAATAGGCATCAGAACAAAGATAGATGCTATGGGAAAAAAAAAAGAAAAAGAAAAAAAAGACTTCCTTAACATAATTATTTCAGTCCTATTTCTCAGGTCACAGTTACAGCAAGAAACTGCCATTTGCACTGCATGAAAGTGGGAAGTTGAAATCATACTCCCTCACCATGCACTGACTCCCCTGTTTATCTCCCTTCCAACCTTTGTTTAAGGAGATATGAAAACATTGGAATTTATTGTAAGCCTTGAAAATTGTGTACAGAGCACAAAACATTTTATTGTTGCACAACAAGCATGCACACACAGAAAATTTAAATAAAGACTCAGTACATTTAAAGCTCTTTGAATTACACAAAAGGCCATTAATCTGAGTAATCACATAGAGAATGGACCAAGTATTTTAACATAGTCAAAATGTTCAGCTAAATTTACAGTAAAAAAAAAAAAAAAGTGTTTACTCTTCTCTGAATGGACTTTCTGGTATCATAATTTGCATGCATGGCCTCTTATTCTTTCACTGGGCATCACAGAGCATAGCTGTGTCTTCTTCACACCTTGTCATTGGATATTACACACATTGATAAGACCACTAAACTGCCAATCTAGCTTGTTTAAATGTTCCCTAACCAGATACTCCTCCCACACCCTTTCTTGCACTGCACTTTACCAATAGTATCAGGGATCTGGGATTCCTGACAGTTGCTCTTAGCAGCAAAGACTGAGAAGTTCAAATATTCTTAGTCTTCTGTGTCTTTTATTCCCTGTCCCATCTGGGGTTTGGACACGTTTTCCCTGTCTTCCTTTTATACATTAAGTTTCCTTGTTGTCATTCAGGTTTCTAGCTAGATTCAACTCCAAGTGAGCTTTGGCTTTCTAAACACTATCCCTGCGTGTTCAGGATGTTTATATTTCTCCCAGGTCACTCATCTTTGCTTCTACTTGTGTGGTTGGAGGAGTTGATTCTTAAAAATTAACTGTCTCTCCTGGATCTCTCTTCCCTCCAGGGCAGTAACCCATAGGCTTCTTCTAGGCAGGACTCTGACTATACAGAAGAATGAGATCCTTCTCTTTTGTTCTTTTGTGTCCTCTCAACGAGGTTGCATCAGGTTGTCCTGTCTTTTCAGGACTTCAATTTGACAGTGGTGGGAGAGATGTAACTGTTAATTTTATCAGTGGTAAGATATATGGTGGTTTTTTTCTCAGCCCTTGATGAACTAAATTTCTCTGGAAATATGAGTGTAACCTATTTCTAACAGTAATGGACGTTTCACTTTGACTAAAACTTTGTGAAGGGAATATCAGTCTTTTCTGTGCCAGTACCTTAAATTCACTCCACTTCACCTGTTGAATTCTCAAGTCACATGATATTGCAATAACTCAATATTTTAGCTGCAATTTATTACAAAAAACTTTAGAAATCTACCTATGGCCATTAACATTCTTTAACTAAGGCTCACTGAAACTTATTAGTGCTACAAACACATTAATGAAATACTGGTGGTGAGAATTTTAGTGAAGCAAAATCAAGATATAAATTTTCAATTACTGCTCTGCACATGAACCAGTGCATAAGTATAACCTAATAGATACACATATTGACACACACATTCAGCATTCTGTCCAATAAGATTCACCACACCTAATAAATGCTAAAATACACAATTTCAGTCTTCGATTCTAGAACTACGTCAAATGCCAGAGGAAAAAAAAATAATAATAATAATCATGTTTCTGTTTTTAGCACATCAACCTGGCTTCAAATAATCTACTACCTTAAAAGCTGGAGGTGGAGAAATGATACATTAGCTGACCCATGTCAGAATAGTGGATTTATGGCTATAGCTTGTACTTAATACTAAGTACTTCTCCCACATTTTCTTTCCTTCTCACTGACCTTGACTACAACTTAATTGGTAAACAGCTTTTTTCTATACAAATGCTAAATGATTGTCATGCTGTAACGTCATTGTAGACATGATGCTCCAACAAAGGCTAAGTTTGCAGACCATTTCTCTCATAAACAAATGTCTCTTCTTTTTACACTTTTAGTTATGGTTATGTGTCACAGAAATGTTGTTCGGATAATGATAACCATAATAGTTTTTTTGCTACTCTCTTCCTAGATGAATATCACAGCTGAACAGGTCCTCTGTTAGCATTTGTAGTAACAAATCTTACTTAAATGGGAGAATTTTGAGATATGCAAAAACAGAAGCAGTCTATAAAGAAATACTCTATCTGTGTAGTATAAATGCACATGCATTCATATACATGAAAACAGATAGTTTTATGCACAGAACATGTGACAGAAAAGAGGCTTCTCCATAAGGAGGCATCAGACATTTTTCATAAGGAATCATCTAATAAAATGCATTCCTTTGTGAGCAAAAGATCTTACAAATAATATATTGATTAATCAACCAAAAAAAAAGTTTAAGAGAGGCATTTATTCTAAAAGAAAAACCTGTAGGGAGAGCGTTATCTAAACAGGCACTCTTAGTCTTAAGAGGAATTTTAATCAGGTTTCGCATTCCTTCAATTTATATTTCAATAAGCTGACCTACATAAAGATATTTTCAGGCAATCAAACCAGAAAACTATTGAACATAGAGTGGTCTAGAAAGCAACTCGGGAAACGAAGGAAGAGCAGAACTTAAACAGGAACTGTCAGAGCATAATGACACTGCTGTGGCAGGAAAAAAATCTTCCATGGTCATTCATAAGTCATAATTTCTATTTTGTCTGTGTTCATCAAGCTCATTGAGTTTTTGAGCTGTGCTGTGGAAGACATTCTAAATAACCACCCTGACCGAATGGGCTCGGACATGGGAATGAGCAGTGTGGAACTGAATTTCTGCTCAGGGAATATCTATTTTTAGAACTAAATCTATGTAGAAATGTTGGAAAAGAGAATGATATATTACACTTGTAATGCTGGAGAAGATACTTATAAAAGGATTCACACACAATTCTCCTCATCCTGTTCAATGTAATGAGGAATCACAGTACCAATAATAAATGGCAAAGGAAAAAGAATTGATATGTTCTGAAGTTGTTTTGCCTGCATACAGACTACTTTATTTCTCAACTGAGTGATAAAACTATTGTGTTTGCAATATTGACATGCACACTTTAATTCTTTGTTATACATAAATCAAATTAAATTATAGCCAACACTTAAAAACTGTGGAACCTCTATAGAAGTTAAACATGATTTATATAATGGAATAATTCTTATTGCAGGCTGAAGAATAAATAGGAGGTGATTCAAAGCACTGGTACAGAGCTGCAGTCTTTTCTCTATGTCCTGTCATGGACACCACCAATATGTCGTTCCTGTTACAGTGATTCCCCAGTTTAAATGGTCTAAATTGTATCCATGCTTTTTAATGGCTGTAACACGCTTTCCAGAAAACTTGTAAAACCACACT